CATCCCAGAGAATGTTTTTTGGGAGTCCAAGCCCTGTGAGGAGCAGCATCATCCATGGGGTTAATTCCTCAATTGGAAATTCTCCCTGGCTGCTCGGAGTGAGAGTGCCCAAGGAACCCTGGGCACTGGGAGAGGCTTTTCCTCTCCCTTCTCCTGCCATCACATCCCTGCCAAGGGCCAGCCTGGATGGTTTTTGGGAGTCCAGCCCTTGTGAGGAGCAGCACCATCCATGGGTTAATTCCACAACTGGAGATGTGCACAACCCAAGCTGCTCAGAGCAAGCCCAAAGCACCCCGGGCACTGGGAAAGGCTTTTCCTCTCCTTCCTTCCCTCCTTCCATTACTTCCCTGCCAAGGTTTCCATCCCCTTGCAGGGCTGGGTTTGCTGCTCAGCCTCACTGGGATTGCATGGAAATCTTGGCTCAAATTAATGATGCAACCAAGCCACCCTAAATCACTTCAAAAGAAATGCATCACTCCTGGCAGCTGGTTTTTAGGGGAAAATTCACCATTCAGAGCAGAATGGAGGGGGAAGAGTCCTTGGAGAAGAGTCATGGAAGCACAAAGAGCCTCTAACACACGCCCAGGGCACTGCCCCTTCCTTTCACTGAGTCATGAAATCATGGAAGGGTTTGGGATTGGAGGCAACAATAAAGCTCATCCAGTGACACCTTCCACTGTCCCAGGCTGCTCCAACCTGGCCTTGGACACTTCCAGGGATCCAGGGGCAGCCACAGCTTCTCTGGGAAATCCGTTCCAGCCCCTCCCCACCCTCATGGGGAAGAATTTCTTCCCAATATCCAAAGAAAATTCCAATCCCCATTCCCTTCCACTGGCTGTAGCATCCTGCAAATGCCACATCCTTATCAATCCAAACTCCAAATATTTGATTTTAAACTCTGTCAATTGACCCTTTTTTTTCCTGTTGATTGCTGATGGATTTCTCCTATTTTCATCCCATCTGGCAAACTCTGCTTGCTGTGACTCCAGGATCTGATCCCACGTCCCCTGCAGCATTCCAAAGGCTTGGATCAGAACCTGGACGCCTGCTTAATACTGGTTTTACGACCCTGCTGAAGGGCAGCATCCTCTGTTTTGCACATACTTTTATAATTTTGAGTGCATTTCAGTCAAAAAAATAAAATCCATTTCAACCAAGTGCTCAAATAACGCAGCCTGCACAGAAGGAGCAAAATTTTGGCTTGGGAAGACCAATAAAAATAATTGGATTTGGAATACTGGTCAGTAATTTTTGGAGTTTGAGTTATTTTTGAGATTTTTGTCTTAGAGTGATTTTTTTTTTTTCCCCTGGGAATGATATCCAGAGGGAAGAGTCTTGAGGGCAGAAATTGTGTTTAGTAAAATCTCTCGTGTTCTACAAAGCTACACCTGCTTTGGCTCTGTGGAAATTGAAAAACACCACAAAATTTACTCCAATTCCTCTAATCCTGGGCAAATATCTGTATGGATTTAATTTTCCATCCTTTCCAAGGTGCAGTTTTTAAAACTCTCCTGGAGCTTCAACTCTCAGGTTTAGATTGAGATCTCCTGCAGCAAGCCAAGACACTTCTCCATTAGCTACTCTTAGGATAACCCATTAATAATCATTTTCATCTGGAAAACATGTTTATTTGCTGGGATTTTTGGAATCTTACATCCTCCAAAGAAGATAGGAACCGGGATTAATGATTCCATGAGGAAAATATGTCATGTTCCCCAAGCCACAGAGCTTTCCCTCTCCAAAATAACTATTTATTTTTCATTTTAGCCAATGAACTTCTACAATGACAGGCTTTTTGCATCAGATCCATTTCATCAGAGTGACCTAAACCGGTTCTTTATCCCCTAAAAAAACAGGGATACGTTGCAGCAGGAGCAGTTGGAAGCTCGGAATGTTCGCGAAAAAGGAGGGCGAAAAATCAAGATTGATTTTGTTTTAAGCAGGTAATCAGGCCAAGGGGGGAAGCTGAGATTGGCTGGAGTTTTAAAAGGACATTTTTCTTCCCGAAATGACTCCCGAGCCAGACGGGCAGGTTTGCCCAGCAGCATTCTCCAGCTGAGGGCTGAGGAATCGGAGCCTTGGATCCCAGCCAAATCCAATGGAAATCCCTTTGGTTGAGGAAGAAAAAGCCAAATTGCTTTTCTACCACATCTCCAGGTTTTGGGTGACCTGTGACAGTCTCACTTCTATTTTTGGTGTGAAGAAAACCAAATGTTTTGGGTTTTTAGCTCTAAGCAAGGCTGAGCAGCATGGGGCAAACTCAGTGTTGGGCACAGAACAAGGCTGAAACTTTGGCTGATATTTTGATATTTGGTGCTAAATATTGATGAGGGGAAATCAGTCCCCAGATCAGGGGGATTCACTGTGACCCCCCCAAAATCAGGGGGAAAACATGGAAAATAATCTTTGATACAGACTATCTTGCTGCATTGCATGGAAGAAACTGAAATTATTTATGAAGTGTGTCAAGAATGGGAATTTCCTCCTCGGAAGGGACAGAGCTGTGGCTGCTGAGGGGATTTTAATGGGGATTCTGATGATCACCACTCAAAACCATTCCTGATTCTCCATCAGGGATTTAGAGCGAGGATTTTCAATCCCCCGAGGGACAGAAGGAGCCTCCACCGTGGCCTGAACCGAGGTGAACTCTCAGTCCCTGCTCGCACAACGCCCCTGGCACTGCATTATCACCGGTGGCACTGAGCTGATCCCAGCTCAAATATTCCACGGCAAACAAAGTCGGGGTTCATTTTCCTGCAGCCAAGTATCAAAGGCAGCAGAGCCCTTTGAAGCAGCCACCTTCTGCTGCAGGCTTTGTGCAAATGCCGCAGAACAGCAGCTCCCAAATCCCGCACAAAGGCAAACAATCCCCACCTTTGGAAAACAATCCCCTGGCGGAGGAGTAAACAAAAGCATCCATTAGTCACCGCCCCAAAGATGGGCAGGTGAGGATGTTGAACCTGGGAGCCTGACTAAGAGCACGCAGCGTTCCCACATCCCTCCACTTAAAGGATCCTCAGCACCCGGCTCTGGATAGCACACCTGGAAAGCCCAGGCTGGCGTGTGAGCGGCTAAAGGAGCAGGGAAAGGGGTCCCTGCTCCCAAGAAATAGGGCCTGCTGTGTCCCAGCCGCTGGATTTTGACCTTGAGGCTCCCCCAGTTGCCTGTTATGATTTCCAGCCTCATTACCATGGCCAGGAACTGAACTACAGGTTTGTTTTTATGAGCTTCTCCAGCACTCTGCCAGCTATTCATTTGAATCTTCTAAACAGTCAGCTCTGAATCATAATGCAAATTCCATTTACTGAAAAGGTGGTACCTTTAATATTCCAAATGACCACGTTTAATGACTGATACTTTTAGACATTACAGCATCTCTCATGTTTTCAGTAAATGGATATAATTTGCTCTGCATTACCCTATTATTATTCCTCGCTGGCATTACAAGGCGACGTTCTCAGCTGCGGGTGTTTTCCATTTGAAGGCGGCCCAAACAACACAATTTGAGAGGCAGCTGCCTCTGTACCCTCAGCTAAAAACGCTGCAGGACCCAGAGGAAAACTGGATGGGGATTTTATTCCTAAAATGTACTTAGTGCTCCGTCAGGGCCGCGCTGCTGCGGCGTTGTGGCGCTGTTTGTGTTGGAGGGGTGTCCACGGGTGCTTTTCACTTCAAAGGAGAGGAAAGGCTGTTGTGTATAATCAGGAGAACTTCCTCACTCTCCAGCCTGACACATCTCCCGTTTGGAATAAAAGCCAGAAGTGGGTCAGCTTTGGGACTCTCCTGAAAATCAGGAATCCCTGTGTGGGACCAGGTCACGGCTCGGGTGTCGCATGGGAACAGAGGGAAGGGAAAGTGGTGAGGAAGGGGCAGCAGCCCCTGACTTCTGAGGGAGACCAGAGCACAAATTGCTCCAAAATGAGACCTCCTGAAGTTCAGGAGGTGCTGCCCTGTCACTAAATTGTCCTGGAATGACGCCGGAATACCGCAATGCCCCATTCCAATTTTGGAGACAAATTAAAGAGAAGGAAAATACATAATAAAACACCACCTGAATTCACATTGGAAATGTGACGGATTTTCATCCCTGACCTTAAAAAAAAGAGAGAAGCTGCTCCTTCTCCTGAGCTTTTTCTGAGCCCCAACTCGCTGGCTTCTCTTTGGGGGTTTGACCCAACCTCCCTGAAGTCCCCTCACCATTCCATTAGTTTATTTTAAGTGCTTCTCTTGGAATTGATGTGATTTAGGATTAAAGAGTGAAGTTTTAAAGGATATCCTGCTGATTATTTTGGGACAAAGCTTTGTGCACCTGCCCACTCACGGGCAACACATCAGGTGTTATTGGCAGCTTCCTAATATTTTTATGTAGTCCACTCTAAGTCAGCTTCAACTCTAATTTGTTATTTATGCTCCAAAAGCCTTTTTATTTCTACCAGTAACTACTGATTGTAGCAGAAATAAATCAGAGTTTGAACCCCTCTGCCCTGCCTGGTCTCTCCATATTGCAGGAGACATCAACTGCTGTGACTGTTGAATCTTGAGAGGAAAAAAGGTCAGAGAAAGAGCCTTCAGCAGGTCAGGAACCTGCAAAATTTTTACATCTAAATGGGAATTATTTGCATTTTTAGCCTGACTCTCTCTGTTGCAAAACTCAGTTTTTGCAGAGAGTGCTGGGAGCCCCGAGATGACCACAAGCTGAAAATTCTCATTTTAAACTGAAAATCTGCCACTTAAACCTAACCACGGGTAACATTGTGCTGCCTAAATTATCAAGGGTGGCTTCCAGAGTCAACATACCACTCTCTGGATGGGTTTGGATATTTTGTTTCCCAATGGGATTTCACTGCTTAAAAATCAGCGCGACGCGGAAAACCAGGCGGAAACGCGGAAACCCATCCCGCGCCTTTGGGACGGAACTGTGCTGGATTTTCCAGCGTTCCCTGGTGGATAACAACTCCCAGCTCCTGTCCAGGGGCAGGAGATGCTGGAGCCCCCCGTACCTCTGCCGCTCCTGCCCACGAAGCGCAGGTCGTTGAAGCGCGCCACCTGGTTCTTCATGGCGGCCGTGGCGTTGCGCAGCTCCGCCGAGTAATTCTCGTCATTCCCGGCCATCACCGTCACCAGGGTCCCGTCGGGGACGTCCCCCAGGGCCACCACCTGCGCCGGCAAGAGCAGAACCCTCAGTTCACTTTGCTTCATTCAGAGGTCAAAGCAGGGGGAAGAAGCCGCGGTGAAAATCTGGGTGGGCCCAGCGGGCGTTGGGAATCATTCCTGGTCTGCTGGGATGGGAATTCTCTCCTTCCCCCCAAGTGTTGGCGCCTTTGTTATTCTCTAATCAAGGATTTTCAATTTGATTAGAGAATTTGAGCTCTGACATTATAAATTCCACACCTGCATGCTGCTAAATGGTAGCGTGGTGGTTGATTTGTTGCTGCACTAAAGCGTTTTCCAACCTGGATAAAAAATTCTTTTCCCCTGGAGAAAAATTTCCAGGGGAACTCCAGGAAATTTCCTGGAGAACCAAAGCTCTTAAGATACTGAGTTTTTAAAATATCATTATATTACCGTACCTTATATTCTTTAAAATATCATTATATTACCATAACTTATATTCTTTAAAATGCGCCTTTTTACTCCTCATAGTGGATTTCTACCATTTTAAACCCGGTTTTTCCCAGCAGTGGGAAATTTTTCTTCCTTGATGCACCTCCGAAACACCCAGCAGGATGTGAAATGAAAAAATGCTCTGAGATGAAAAATACAGAAAAGGAGCTTTCCAAAGTCTCTGTAATGGTCAGTAAATAAATTCAAGCAGCAGCGCTCGATGGTTTGATTTATATCAGGAGCTCTTAACGGAGCTGCCCAGGCAGAAATCCAGAGCAAGGCCGTGGAAAATCAGGCCTCAATCAAATGTTTAATCCCAATTTACTGAACAATTTCTTTCTTTCCTTCAGGAGCATAAAGCAAATAATTTTCAGGCCTCACCCTCGAGTGGATGGATGGAAATCATGACCTGAACTAAGGACTTTTCCCAAAAACCTTTGACCTTTCCCCAAAATATTTGTGCTCCTTGGTGCCAGAATCCATCAAACCTTTAGGAACACGGGATTCGCTGGGATTTTGATGAGAAATATAAAGACTTCTGGACTTAAAGATTCTGATTTTTTTTAACTGTTCACACCGGTTTAATGATGAAAAATTTAATTTTTCTTGTAGCTCCTTGAATTCCCCAACCAAATTCAACCTGCTGGGACTCCACAGACATTTGGGATCTCTCTCCGTGTCCTCTGCCAAAAATCAGAGCTTGAATTATTTTGTCTGATTTTCTTTAGAACCCATTGTTGTTTCTCCAATTCCACAGCACTACCACCACAAAACTCCCCCAAACCCCAAAAAAACAAGCCCAGAGATAAAAATCCAGCTCGTTTTTAATTCCTCTTTTGCCTCTGGAAGAGGAACCAGCCCTGCATTGCGTCCTCGGAGTTGCAGCTCGAGATTTTCCTTCCTCTTAACATTTTCTGACTTCAGTCCAGGCAGTTACAATGGGCTCAAGTTTGTCACAACCTGATTTTATTTCTCTTTTCTGATCTGTTTGCTCTTTAAAAACAGGATCAGCAGTCCCTTTACTCGATCCAGCCCCGATTTTTATTCCTCAGCCACAGCCACCTCCCAAAACATGACAGAATTCCCCATTTTCAGGTGTTTCCCAGCTTTTTTTTTTCACTGGAGGCTGAGCTTTTCACTTCTGTCCTCTCCCTTTGCTCACCCCTAGCCCTGATTTTCACTTCCACATGCAAAGCTAAAATCTCTGGGTCAAAATTCCCTCTTTACATCTTGATTTCAACTTCCTCTTTCCCCGTTCCTCCCCAGCCCTGATTTTTGGGTTTCTTTTCTCCTCTCTGTGCTGTAATTTGGTTTTTTGGGCCTGCACTCAGCTCGGCTTTTCAGATTTCCCCGATTTTGGCAGAAATGAGGCCCTGCTGGAAATGTTGAAGCTTGGAAATCCTCACAAAATCAGCAACTCTGCAGCCAGTTCTTAAAAAATCCTACAAAACCTTGATGCATCCACATCTCATAGACAAAAAACAGGGAAAAGGGAAAATCAGGGCATTCCCCTGCCATGCAAATATTGAATTTAAGGGAATTTACGCCAGGATTTTAAGCTTTCACAAAGTTTCTCGTGGGTCCAGGGCCAGTTGTCTCTGACAGAAAAATATTTTAAAGCTTTCAAATCCCAGCTTTGGTGACAAGAAACGGGAAGAAAAATCTTAAAAACGAGTCCAAAACTGACCCAGCCCAGAAAAGAAACTGGACTTGAAAGTCACAGACAATAGAAACAGAAATACAAATATTTACATTAGAAAAAAGACTAAACAGATAAGCTGGGACTTGTTACTGGAGTTATCAAGGACTTGCTTGTACTTTTTACCTCTGAAATTTGTATTTCCCCAGGAGCAAGAAGAATATCAGGCTTGCAGTGCTGTGGGGTATCTAAATTTACTTCTCCTGCACCAATTAATCCAAATTGGCCTCTTAAATGAAGATTTGGATCCTTAACAGCATTTGGACAATGAATTTATATGGCACCTTATTGGCTACTGTGAATTATTTTTTTAAATTTCTCAAAATCATTCCTAAATTTAGGAAAAAAACGATGAAAATTGATCACTTGGGTTTGAAATAATAAATAATGAAATAATCCTGCAGATTTTTTAGTGGATTTTTCTAAATGTGAGGAGAAAACCTCTCTGCCTGCCTCTTTTTTTTTCCTACAATGAATAAAAGTAACAAATACTCGATAAACCCCAGAGCATTTTGTCAGATGCAAACTAAAATATTGCCAGCAGAGGAATGATCTGAGGCGAATTTTTTTTTTTTTTCCCTGGGCCAAACAATCTGAAAAATCCTGATTTTTTAAAAAATGGCTTTGCAAATAGTTGATATTTAGTAGAAAACCACTGAGATGTGGGAAATCCTTTCAGGGTTTATTTCTCAGCCGTGCACGGAGAGAGAATTTGGGGGTGAAGATGAAGAACACGGAGGGAGCAGGTGCCTCCCAGCCCACCCTTCCAGCCTCTCCTAATGAAACCTTCTCCTAATTCTCGGGTGGGTTTGATAATTATTATTTTTTTTTAATTTTATTTTTCTGCTGTTTATTTGCAGGTGGAATTATCCCAGTTTTCCAATCTCCCGGAGAAGCTGAGTTTGGAGCGGGGTGAACGCTGAGACTGCCGGGGACAGAGGAGGGAAAGCGGCTGCGGGAATCTCTGAAACCCCCGGGAATTTTTTTTTTCCAGGGGCGATTTCCACATCACCGCGGCATTCCCAGGGATGGGGTGAGGATCGGGAAGGAGGGGGAAGCGCCACCTCTCCTGTCCTTCCTCCGGGATGTCACCCGGACTGGGATGCCCCAGGAAAAATCGGGATTTCTCTCATCTCCCTTCCCGGCGGGGCGGAGCGCTTTTCACTCCCGCATTTTTCCAGCAGGAAAACTTCCCGCCTAATTAAGAGCCCGGTGCGTGGGGACGAGTGTAATAATTAATCTAAATGTGGGAATTTAGGAAGTGACCCCGTGATCGGTTCCTCCCTTTGCCCCGCTCTTATCTGCGGAAAACGAGAGCAGACACAATAAAACTTTTCCCTCCTCAGCAGGAATTCCCGAAGCTGAGCTGATTCCCTTCTCCCTCCTTTCTCCTCTCCCCAAAACACGGGGAAGGCTCCAGTCCGGTGGCCTTCAACACACACACACAATAAAATAGTTGTGCTGAAGCAGCCGGGGTTTAGTGACCGCAAAAAAAGCTCGGGCTTGGCAAATCCCGATCCTAAATCAACCCCCGGGGCTCCCAGGAGCTGCGTGTCCGTGCGGCTCCCGGCTCGGATGAAAGGATAAGGAGAAGAATTCCCTTTTCCACCCCTCGCTCAGGAGCCAAATTTCAGAGAAAATAGCGAGTTCAGGGAGTCAGCCACAGTCCCGGGTCAAAAAAGCAGCGTGAGCGAGGGGAGGAGGAATTTACTCCAAGGGAGCAGGATTTACTCCAAGGGAGAAGAATTTACTCCACGGGGGAAAGAGTTTACTCCAAGAGAGGAGGATTTTACTCCAAGGGAGGAGGATTTTACTCCAAGGGAGGAGGATTTTCCTGGGAGCCGGGTAACGGGAAGGGAGGAAAGCGCCACAAGCATCCCCCGCACCGCTCGGGACAGGCGGGAGCCGGGATGTTCTCTCCCATTCCCTCTCCCCTTCTTTTCCCGGATTTTTTCCGCTTCTTTTCCCGGATTTTACTTGGATTTAGCAAGGGACTCTGCAAACGCGGGGAGAATTCCCAGCGGGCTGCCCGGGTTAGGCCGCGACTTTTGCTGTTGTTGAACCGGGCCAGTAAAAGAGGAAATGCGGGGTTTGGGATTGGCACCGGGCTGTTTTGGGGTGTTTGGTCCCTCCGAGAGTCCCTGGCAGGGGAAAGTCCCGAGCGGGGCCGGGGCTGCGGGTGGGTGTCCCCTGTGGGTGGCAGCGGGACAGAGGGACAGCGGGACAGCGGGACAGAGGGACAGCGGGACAGAGGGACAGAGGGACAGAGGGACAGGGGGACAGGGGGACAGAGGGACAGCGGGACAGAGAGACAGAGGGACAGAGGGACAGAGGGACCTGCCACCACCCTGGGCGACTTCTGGAGGATCCCGGGGCTCCTCCAGCTCCGGGCTGCCCGCGTCCAGCTGCGGCATCTGCGCCAAACTCCGCGGGGCCGGCTTTGGGATGTAAAATGTGTTTATTTCTGTTTTTCCCCCCTGAGCAGGGCCGCCTGTCACTGCCAGAGCTGTGAGTGGGGAGAAGAGGGAGGCAGCGGCTGCAGGGAGATTTTCCCGGCCCTTGGCATTCCCCGGCTGCCCCCGCTCCTGCCCCGAGCGTGGCTGGGAAGGACGGAAAGGATGGAGGGAAAGCAAAGGGAAGGATGGAAGGAAGGATGGAGGGAAAGGATGGAAGGAAGGAATGAGGGAAAGAAAAGGATGGAAGGAGGGAAAGAAAAGGATGGAAGGAGGGAAAGGAAGGGATGGAAGAAGGGATAGAAAGGATCGAAGGAAGGAGGGAAAGGATGGAGGGAAGAGGGAAAAAAAAGGATGGAAGGAAAAGGGGAAGGGAAAGGATGAAAAGAAGGAAAGGGTGGAAGGAAGGAGGGAAAGAAAAGGATGGAAGGAGGGATGGAAGGAATAAGGGAAAGGAAAGAGGAAAGGAAAGGAAAGGAAAGGAAAGGAAAGGAAAGGAAAGGAAAGGAAAGGAAAGGAAAGGAAAGGAAAGGAAAGGAAAGGAAAGGAAAGGAAAGGAAAGGAAAGGAAAGGAAAGGAAAGGATGGAAGAAGGAGGGAAAGGGGGGAAGGAAGGAGGGAAAGTAAAGGATGGAAGGAGGGAAGCACCAAGCGAGCCGGGAGCAGATCCGAGCCCCATCCCCGCATCCTTCCCCCGCTGTTCCCCCCCGTGCCCACCCACCCCTGCCCGGGACCTACCTTGAAGGCGATGGGCAGCGTCTTGTTGCAGCGCCAGTGCGTGGGCAGCACGGAGCAGAGGAAGTTGGGGCTGTCGGTGCGCACCAGCTCCCCGGGGTGATCCGCCAGGACCTCCACCATGCTGCGGTCGGCGCTGCGCAGCTTCCCCGGCAAAGCCCCGCTGTGCTCGGCGCCGGGCAGCGCCAGCGGCTCGCTCATCTTCCCCGGGCTCAGCGTGGTGGAGGGCGGCGTGAAGCGGCGGCTGGTGCTGGTATCTACGGGGATACGCATCACAACAAGCCTTTAGAGCCACACAACACCTCCACTGAGTTCCTAGCGAGCGGCCACGCGAGCGCAACTCCTCAGCGAGCCGCTCTCTGGGGACCAACATAAACGGGCGCGGGCTGAGCCCCCGCTCCCAGGAGAGGCTGGTGCTGCGCCAGTCCCCCGAGTTAATCTGGGTTTTTTTGCCGATAGCCTCAGCTCTCGGCTTCCTGGCCCGGCGGAACAGATCCCGTTAATCCGATAAACGCGAGGCTCGTGCGGCTTCACCGCGGCCGGGACGCGGAAAGTGAGCGGGGCCAAAGCTCATCCCAAAGTGGCCGGAAAAAGTAAAAACAGGGAGGCGAGCGAGCACTGAGGCGGTCGGAAACACGAGCGGAGCCTGCGCTCCCCAGGTCCTTCCAGGTGATTTCTCTCCCGTCCCAAGAGAAACCAAAAGGCGCCGGCGTCTTCTGGAGGCAAAAATCGCTCTTTGAGGGAAATTCGGGGCTGTTCCTCGGAGGAGGCGGATCGAGAGCTCGGCTTGCTGAGCAAAGGTCAGCTGGCTGCGACTGGATAGAAATTCACGGCCACACACTCACGCACACGCACATCTACCGGACTTCATCAAATATTTACAATAGAATCTGTAGAGAATTTAAACACAACAGGAATCCATTAATGTTCTCCGCCAGATTTTCTTTTTTTTTTCTTTTCTTTTCTTTTTTCTTTTTTCTTTTTTTTTTTTTTTTTAAAGCAGCCTTGAAAATGAGCTTCAGTAGTTTGCTTGGAGTTGCTCTAAGAGCGCTCGTGTCATGACCTTTCAATCATTCTTGCGCAAAAATTAAAAAAAAAAAAGGCAAAAAAAAAAAAAGAAAAGAAAAGCTCAGTGCATGGCATTCAAGCTTCCAATCTCTATCTCTGGTATAACGCCTTTCATTCATTTAAAGAAAAGTCAGAGCCGATCGCAAGCGCCGGAGCTGAGAGGTCCAACAGCTGCAAACTCGGAGTTGGGGATGTTGGTTAAATTGTGGGTTCTCTCTGTGGTTTTGTGTGTGCAACAGCGCTCTCTCTCTCCCACTCACGTCCTCCTCAGCAGTCAAACCAACAGTCTGCAACAACTTCGGCGCTCGTTGCCAATTCTCCTTTTTTTTTTTTTTTTTTTTTTTTTTTTTTTTCAGTATCTCAGGCAGTCTTCCTCTAATTCGGCCACAGGAACCGGCTGCTTAACAATATTTGAACCGCAGCAGGTGGAAAGCTGCTTTGGTAAACACGGCTTTTTCTCTCCCTCTCGTCCTGCGGGATGGAGCCCGCCGCGCACACAGAAACCCAAAACCACCGGCGACAGCAGAAAAATAAAAATTAAAAAAGCGAAAAAAAAAGAAAAAAAGAAAAGAAAAAAGCCCTCCCCACTCAGCGAAATCTCTACTTTTGAACGGGTGAAATCTTTTCCTTCCGCGGAACGAGGCGGCGGCGGGAGGGGGTGACCCCACAGCGGCGGCAGCGGCGGCAGCGGCGGGCGCGATCAAACCCCGGAGCTGCCGCCCGGCTTTCGAGAGCAGCTCCAGCCTCCGCTCCACGGCCGGCAGCTTCCCGTGGGCACGGAGAATTCCTGCCGGGATGGGGCGGGACGGGACGGGACGGGATGCGCGGGGCCGCGGGGCCGGGGCCGCCGGGCAGGCTGGAGGTGGCCGGGAGCGAGTCGGGGCGGCGGAGGCGTGCGGAGGAATGTCATTCCCCCGGTGCTTTGCATACGGGGAGGGCACCGGCCAATCACGGCCCTACCGGGGCGCGGCCGCGGGCCGGGGGCTCCCGGAATCGGCGCGGGCCGAGCGCCGGCTCGGCGGGGACACCGCGACCGCGCCTCGTCCCTCGGGGCACCCGGACAGCGGCGCCCCCGGCTCCTGCGACCCCCGGCCGCGCCCGCCGAGGCTCCCGCGGCTCCCCCTGCCCGCCCGCGGTGCCCGCACGGTGCCCGCAGAGCCGCAGACGCCGCCCCGCCACACGCCCCGCTCCTCCCCGGGCGAGCTGCCGGCGCTCCCTGCTCCGGGGCTTTCGGGGGCACACCCGGGGGGCCGGACACGGCCACCGCCGGTTTGGAGTCCCCGCCGCTCCCTCAGTCCCGAGGGGCGCCCGGCGCCGCTGGTTTGTTGGGGCGGCGGCGGCGCTCCCAGCCAGGGCCATCCCTGCCAGCCTTCTTCCTCCTCCTCCTCCTCCTCCTCCTCCTCCTCCTCTGCACAGCCCAGCGCGGGGACAGCACGGCCGGGGACAGCTCGGGCACAGCCACACGGCCACCAGCGGCTCGGGTCGCCAGCCGCCGGTCGCTGTGAGCCCGCGGAGCCGGGAGCGAGGATGCTGGGGGGAGGCGGGGCTGCCGGGTCGGGATGGAGCTTTTTGGTTTCGGTGGCTTTTTAAATTTTTTTTATAATTTTTTCTTTTTTCTTTCTTTCTTTTTTTTTTTTTTTTTTTTAATTTCTACGCTCGCCGATTCCGCGAGCGTAACCCAGACCAGGAATGGGGCGATCCCGACCCGTCCCTGCCACTGCCGGAACTCAGACCGGGAACGCCGCGATCCCGACCCGTCCCCACCGCGCTCTGGGCGCTGTCTTTGCGCTTCCCTCCGCCAACTCTCACCCCCCTGGTCCCCGCATCCCCGCCCCTCCCCGCGGCCACCCGCGGGCTGCTTCCCTCTCCGCCAGCCCCGGCAGCTCAGAGCGGGAGGATGGATGGATGGATGGATGGATGGATGGATGGATGGATGGATGGATGGATGGATGGATGGATGGATGGATGGATGGATGGATGGATGGATGGATGGATGGATGGATGGATGGATGGATGGAGGAATGAAAGGATGAAGGGATGGATGGGTGGATGGATGGAGGTGGTGGCGGGGACCCCCCGGGGCCGCTCCCGTCGGAGCCGCGCCAGGGGCGGCGGGGGCGCGCTGGGTGCAGTTCCCGCCGTGGCCGCTGGAGGGCGCGCGCCGCCCGCTGGCCGAGCGGCACCGGGCGGGGGGCGCGGGGAGACCGCGGGATTTGGGATTTGGGGTCGGGATTGGGGATTTGGGGTCGGGATTGGGGATCTGGGATCGGGGTTTGGGTTTGGGAGCGGCAGCTGCTGCCTTGGGAGCTGCGCCCACCGCAGCTCCTCCTGTCCCCACAGGGGCTGAGACCTCCCGCATCCCCGGGACAGAGCTCGGGATTTGCGATTTGGGGTCGGGATTTGGGGTTGGGATTTAGGGCGAGTGGCCACTGCAGCCTCGGGAGCTGTTCCCACCGCGGTCCCTCCCGTCCCCACAGCAGCTGAGATCCCCACGGGAGCAGGGGATGCTCGGCTCTGCCTTTGATGCTGCGGGGTTTAACGCAATTAAAGTGAAATTTAAAACTCATTAACCCGGCGGGGAGAGCGCGGCGCCCGCTGCAGGGACAGGGATGCGCCGGAGTCCCGAATTCCCGGCAGGAGCGAAGCTTTTCCCGCATCCCCCGGTGTCGCTGTCCCGCTGTCCCTTGGGGGGTACCAGGGATGCCCATCCTGGCACTGCCCAGGGGCATTTTCGGGTCCTGTCCCCCCCCCAAAAAAGCGTCCACCCGCCGCACTTGCAACAGGTCCCTGCTTTTAAGCAGCCGAAATTTGGTGCTTGAACTATTTCACGCCAAGTTCCTATTTTTTTCTAAGTTTTAAATTTTTTTCTTTATTTTAATTTTTTTTTAATCCCGTGTTTTCCACTTTTTCGCTCCCGAATTTAATTTTCTTTTCTATTTTAAGGGGGGGGGGGGGGGAAAGAGAAATATTCAGGCGAACGGCTGTTGCAAACCACAGCTCTAAACCCATCTGGGCTGTATTAGTGGCTGATAACTTTTTACGGGCACGGCAGAGATAAGAGGAGTTATTTTACTGATGCGCATCCATCTGCTAAAACGGGAAAAAACAGCGCTTAATTGGTTCTTTTTTTTTAGTCAAGAGCTGGGGAGGATTTCATATTTAAATTCATGAATATTTTGAGCTGAGTTTCACTCCCTGCTTCGCATCTCGGCTCAATTCGAGCTCCTTGTAAACACGAAATAAACGCGAAATAAACGCTAAATAAACACGAAATAAACGCAAAATGAACACAAACGCTTCCCACGCGCGTGGGGAGACCCAGAAAACGCCACGATTCAGCAGAAAATCCACAATATTTACATTTTCCCCATAAATTCCCGGCGTTATCAGGATTTAATATGGGTTAAAGGCGACAATTTTCTCTTTGACTGCACGGAAGCTTTTCTAGGGAAGGTGAGGAGTTAAATCAGAGAGAGCAGCCAGGGCAAACACCGCGGCGAGGATATTTTGATATTTTGGTGCAGATCGAGCTGTTTATTTTACAGCCCCATTAGCACCGCCCGCACCTGGCTGCGTTTGGTTTTATTTGGGTTTTTTACTTTTTTTTTTTTTCAGTTTAATGGTTTTTTTTGGGTTTTATTTTGTGTTTTTTAATTTTTTTTTTGCCAATTCTGTTCATCCTCTCCCTTCTAATTTAATTTTTGCGTGATGAGGAGAGCAGCCCTCGGTGATGCTGATTGTCCTCGCGTTGCTCGGGAAAAATGGGAATTAAGCAACTTTTGGGAATGGGAAACGATGCGAAGCTGATGCTGCTTCTCCCAAAATGGGGCTTTTAGCAGCCCTAAATTTAAGACGGGCTCTCGGACAGGGTTTTGGGATCGCTTTGGGAATCGCCGCGGCTGTTACAACTTCCCCAATTTGCGTTTTGACACCAATTTATTGGGGAAACAAAGCCCAAGGGAATTTCCATTCTCCACAGAATCCCTCGAGCACAAAATCCCGATTTTTTCCCCCACACCGCAGCCAAGGAAAGCTTTGGAAGTGCCAGAGAGAGCAGCAACAATTTCGGGGTGAATTTGAACCAGTCTGAACAACGCGGGTCAATATTCCCCAGCCAAGATTTTCCCCTTTTGCACCTGAATTCCTTTAATTTATGCCCAAAAAATCCCTGATCCTACAAACCATTCAT